GGGCTCGTTGGAAACGTGATGCTCCAGGGCAGCCTTGGATGCAGCGATCATGAGATGCTCGAATCTGAGATCCTCAGGACAGTGAGAAGAGCGTGCAGCAAGCTCACTGCCCTGGACTTCAAAAGAGCAGACTTTGGCCTCTTCAGAAACCTGCTTAGTAAGGTTCCATGGGATACAGCCCTAGAGGGCAGGGGGGCCCAAGACTGTTGGTTGATGGTCAAGGATTACCTGCTACAAGCTCAGGAGTGTTGTCCCCCAAGAAGGAAATGGGGCAAAAGGGCCAGGAGGCCTCCATGGATGGATTAGGAACTAACAAGAAAACTTAGAAGGAGAAAAGAAGGTGGCAACGAAAAAGGCTTAGAGAAGGTGGCAATGAGGACAGACAGCCTGGGAAGAATACAGGAACATTGTCTGGGAAGCTAGGGACCAGATTAGGAAAGCTAAGACTCAGTTAGAATTGAGTCTGACCACATATGTCAGAGATAACAGGAAGGGATTCTATAGTGATGTTGCTAACAAAAGACAGACTAGGGATAATGTGGGCCCTCTCTGGAAGGAAATGGGAGAACTGGCTACCCTGGATGTGGAGAAGGCTGAGGTTCTGAATGACTTCTTTGACTCAATCTTCACTGGCAAATGCTCTGACCACACCACCCAAGTCTTGGAAGGCAGATGCAGGGACTGTGAGAATGAAGACCTTGCGCCCACTGTAGGAGAGGATCAAGCCTGAGGTCATCTTAGGAACCTGAACATGCACAAGTCCATGGGACCTGATGAAATCCATCCGCGGGTCCTGAAGGAGCTGGCAAATGAAGTTGCTAAGCCACTGTCCATCGTATCTGAAAAGTCATGACAGTCAGGTGAAGTTCCCGATGACTGGAAAAAGGGAAATATAACCCCCATTTTCAAGAAGGGGAAAATGGATGACCCAGGGAATTACAGACCAGTCAGTCTCACCTCTGTGCCTGGCATAATCTTGGAGCAGATTCTCCTGGAAGGCATGCTAAGGTACATGAAAAACAACAAGGTGGTTGGTGACAGCCAGCATGGCTTCACTAAGGGGAAATCCTGCCTGACCAATTTGGTGGCCTTCTATGATGGGGCTACAGAACTGATGGACAGGGGTAGAGCAGTTGATGTCATCTACCTGGACTCGTGTAAAGCGTTCGACACTGTCCCACACAACATCCTTGTCTCTAAATTGGAGAGACATCAATTTGATAGGTGGACTGCTCGGTGGATAAAGAACTGGCTGGATGGCCGCATGCATCTTAGCTGTGCATGCATATTAGCATTTGTTGAAGTCTGTTTCTCAGGCGTACCTCAGTATGTTTTGTGAACTTCTACTCTCATTCTCCACAACCCACCTCACCCTCTTACCCTTTCGCCTGCTGTTCTTTCTCTGCTGCTGCATCCTTATGCAGTCACTTGTCCACCTTTCTATATAGTCCATCTGCTTCTAGGTCCATGGCTTTATAACCGGTTACCTGTGACAGGCTATTTGCATCATTTTAGCTTGCTCTCCATCTCACTTCAGCTTTAAGAGGAAGAAATATCGTTTATCATTTCTTTGCTCACCCCTGCTGTGACTTTCCACTTCCCTGCATTGTTTGTCACCTGTTACACCTTTTTCGCTGTCTTTGTTGTTGTTGTTGTTGAATGTCAAATCCAATAATTTTATAATAATTTGGATATTTTTTCCATATATGTTAGGGTAAGGTTGGGTTGAAATTCTATTATAGAAAATGCATTTAAAATGCAGCTATGTATTCTACAGATAACATGCCTTTCCGCTCTTAGCAAGAGCACTGAACAAAGCAAGCTAACATGTTGGCTTGATACACTGCAAATTTTCTTTCACACTTCCAGCTTTTACAGCAGGAGAGGTTTTTCAGAGAAGCACAAAAAACTCTCCTCTTCCTAGCCTGTGCTCCTCCTGCAAATGCAGAAGGTGAAAGTCCCGTGACTTGCTGTGCAACCAAAACAACCTGCCATCTGCAGGTAGATAAGTGGGAACATATGGATACAAATATATACAGATTTTTTTTCTCTACGCAACTCTTCCTTGAATTTCAGAATGAAAAAAACTATAAACAGCAACATCCCACTGCATAAGCCAAAGAGGCTTGCTACCACCATTCCTCTCTGCCTTTGCCTGTGACAAGCAACAGTTGCAAGATAGGTTCAGTTTCTAAAACTCTTTATTTATTATGTGAAGTTACATTGACCTGTGTTTTAGGATGTAGGACTTACTCAATCTCTCAGTCAGAATCAGAGTCTGTTCCTTACAAATCACTTGAAAATAAACTTATTTTAGGCAAATCTTAAGAATATAGGAAAAAAATCTGCAATCCATCCGGCAGAAATACAGTAAATCCTGAATTGCATTTTAGCAGCGTTATATTCACGTCAGATCTTTCTGTAGTTATCGAAAGAATCAGGTTCATATAGCAGCCAAGATTTTCAAAGTTTTTCAAAGTAGCTGTATCCTATTTGCATGGTAGCAGAAAGTATGCAACTCTTAGGATCAGTTTAAACCATGAGCTGATAGCACAGCTTGTAGGCTGACCTTTTCAGGCTTTATGTCACAAAACAACTGTCTCAAAAGGAAATCACCAAGTTACTCAGAAATTTTTGGGCAGTTCCAGTTTCATTTTGATGTTTCATGCTGAATGTACTCTTGAGTTCAGGCTCTGCATTCCTGAGAATGTGCATCCAAACAAGTTTATTCAAAGCATTCTGTAAAACTTACATGCTCTGAATTCAGCTGTCAGAAGTCAATGGTTTGGATGACTAAACACTTGAAGGGGAGAGAAAAGCCCATAGGGCCAGAGTTGAGCTTGATATATGATTTACAATTAAAATCCTAACACTTTCAGTAAAAGCAAAGGGGAGAACATGGCAGGAAATCTATGGTTCTATGATCAGTGCTCTTTTTGTAAGGACATGAAAGTGGGGAAATTGAATCTTCCTAAGATGCTTCTTCCTGACTGATCCTTATGCCTACTTTTTCTCTTAACTCCATCTTCACCCTTCAACTGCCACCAGCCCTCAAAGGCCTTGCCTACTTTGTGGCCTTCCACGCTAAGACAAATAGCCTATTTAGGGAAGAGTATTTATGCAAACCCACCTTGCAATTAATGACATTTTTTAAAGGATTTGTTGATGGTGAAATAAAGAAAAAGGCAGAAAAATGTGTAAGTCATGCAGAGCCCATAGGCATTTTTAAGTGGGAAAGGCAGTAGATAACCCACTACCAGAGACACTGTAAAAGATGGATGTCCCAGATGGAGTCATGGTGATTCCCAGCAAATGTCTTTGCACAATACCCGTGTCCTACCAAGGGGGACTCTCCACCTGCATAAAGTCCTGAGGGAAGCCTTGTTTTGTTGATTGCTATGTTCTTCTCTTCTGATTAGCTCTTTTTTCACCTGACCCCATCCACAACTTCCTCACCTGTTTGCAGAGGAATCTCTGCCTCCCCTGCACCTAGGGGGAGTTAGTTTCCCTGCATGTAGACTTTTGGAAAGAAAATGAAGAGTGTTCCTGGATCACATCCCACCTGAGAGAAAAGGTACCCCAAAGCTACTTCACAGTCACCATCACCATCTTCTAATCATTCTGAGCCAGCTCTGGCTACAGCAAGTTTTCTTTATATGCTTCTATTTTGTGGCAGGGAGGCAGAAAGCTCAGTGCAATCACTCAAGAGTCAGTGATCTGCTTTGGGCATCTCATGAACCCTGACAGGTACCTGTGTGGGACAATCCCCTAGATGGCAGGACCGGAGAAATATGTAGAAGGAAACAGGGAACTGGGGAGAAGGTGCTGCAAAACCAGAAGTCCCACATCTGCAAAAGCAGCAATTCCACTGTTGACATCTCTGCCATTTTGCTGGTTAGCCCATGCTTGGATGATGCACCATTAGTACATGTCCATCAAGAACACTGAAGTTACTTTTTTGGCCGAAAGGGAAAAGTATCCTGCATGCTGCTCCATGAAAAGCCCTGCAGGTCAATAGCAATGATTCTGTACTTCTTATTATTCTTCAATGTAATTTTATTTAGTAATAGAATTCATGTCTACAAAATTAAATGCCACATCACAAAATAGGCCACCAGACTGGTTTACAGCTACAGTTTTCAAACAAGTGAGTCCTGAACTCAAATACCAAGAAGCCAATTTAGATTGTGCACATGAACCAGACTTTTCAGAGTACTTTCTGGCATCTAACAGTGCTTGGCCATTAAGAAGCAAAATGCACCCTGCTGAAGCAGTCTGTGCTAGTTTCCTGCTGGATTTCATTTTCTAGATACCCAGAAACACTGAAGTAGCATATAAAAATTGTTAACTGAAGGAAATAATCTTATTAGAAATCTGGTGGTAACTACATTTTTTTATGTTAAGGTAGAAAGGATTTCCTTTTACCTAGTTCTCATTATCTAAACATGTCATATTTTCAGTTAGGTGTGTATTCCCCCTCTGTTGTAAGTGGAAAGTAATTGTGCAAAACAACTCATGGCACTAGAGGAAGAGCATGTGAGCCTGTCAGCCTGTATTCATAAAAATGAAGGCTGGAGATATAGCTTATTCTAAAAGCCTAATTTGTAAAATTAGATTAGACAAATTTTGGTTTGCATATCAGAGAAATATGAAGTAGAGCTTTTGATATCATGTTATCCATCACACATCCCGCTTGTCTAAAGAAGTAGCAAAATTCCAAGCTTCCTATCAACTACTCAGGAATCCAAGCACTGGCATTTTGGATGGTAAGGTTCAGATACGGAATTTAAAAAAAAATATTTACATTGCTTTATTTCATTACCTTACTCATCTGATATACAGCACTGTCACAGGAACTTACCTTTTCTCCTGCTGGGAAAATATAAATGTAACAGTTCCCACTGTCCAGTGGAGCTTGTTGAAGACATCAGCTCTCATTCCATGGAACTAAGCATGCACTAGTAACATTGGCTTGCAAAGGCTGATAATAACTAAAAGGAGCAGACTTTTCACTTTTACTTTAATATGCAAATAGCTGTTGCAGTCTCAAAGAGGAAGTAGAAAATGAAGAGGTTGTCTGGAAGGGGAATTGTGTGATGATATGAAACTATGTTTGTGTATTGCTGAGAGTCAGTGGTTTTTTCACAAATGGCCCTTATATTTCCAAAGCCATTCTTGCACTCCAGGAATAAATAAAAATTGGCCATCTCCTTCAGTGGCACTCAGACTGTGGCCTCAAAAAGCATGTTGGGAAGCAGGGGTAAGGGGGAGGGAGGGGGGAACAAAACAAAACAAACCAAAAAAACCCAGAAGATGCCCTATTCAAGAAGTAAATATGAAATTCATTATGATCATAAAGTGCTTTATCTTAGAGATATTTTTTACTAAAAGTGCATAAATTTAAGAAAGCAGAAACTCCAAGGACTTTTCATATTATAACAATTGCAGTTTTTTCTGAGTTAAAACATGAAAGAATATTGCCATTACAGAATAAAACAAAAAAAAAAATGAATATCCCCCTTAATAGACAGGACACAGGACATCTGAGCTGTCAAACTTTCACCAGAGAGGAAAAGATCTTCCCCTACTTTCTTTAGGTCTTCTCAATTTGTATATCTGTAAAAGGAAGAATTCTATGAAAAATAGCAAACTACATGCTATTGGATTTACAAATTACAATAGTAAATGAAATCACAGAACATTTCGTGGTGTTGGGACGATTTCCTGGAGTTTGGAAGTACTAAAAAATTTTCTTTCATTGTCAAAATTAAAGATCTAAAATTAAATTAATTAAAAGGTCAAATAGAAAAAGTATATGATCATGGTAGTAAACAAAGTGCTAGTTCAAACACACTGGTGGGAAATGCTCTCGAGGAAATTGAGTGAAATTGCTGTGTCTTAGGTCCCCTGTTGTTTTAAAATCTTCAAGTTTTCCAGATACATTCAGGGCTCTATCTGTCTGTTGGTATCCATAGCAGCATATCCTTGGGCCCTAAGTCTTTGACTTGGAGATCTATACCTGCGGGACCAGCAGGCTTACCTTTGTGTATGTTTACTACAGTAAAACGTAGCAGGGAAGGATTCAGGATGTAATTAATGTAAGTGCTTTAGAAGTCAGCAAGAACATGAAAGAAAAACCTCAATAACTTCACCCTTAGTATACCCTTAATAACTTCACCATACTGTGATTCCATACCACAGTATGTTTAAGAGATTTCACAGATTTGGTCATTTATCTCGCTCATGCTTTGCTAAGACAGAATCTCATGGCTTGAGACTTGCGTAAGTGGCCATGATGGGTTAAGTTCTCCCTCCCTATTGCTGTCAGTGCTGCTTCAGTTATGCTGGCACAACTGTTTCTGTATCAAAAGTGTGAGCTAGAGAAAAGACTAATTTGGATTGTTATGTATCTCCACATCACATTTTCCTTCACATAGCTTTTCTTTTTAAAATTAGTTATCTGATATAAGTCCTGGTATACAATGAATTAGGATAGTGATTTTGTACAAAAGAGAATAAGAGGCTGTAATTCTCTTGAAGGCTCTATCTGTTGAAACAAGGGACTAAACAAAATAGCCATGAATCAAGGCTCTGATGACCATGGATGATTTATGCTGTGTGCAATTTACTATTATTTTCCCCTTTATTATTTATACTTACATTTCAGCTCTTTGCCTTCAAAAGAAGCATCTCTGTAGTCATGTGTATCTGTATCTTTTGACAGCTCTTTAAACAAAGACATACATATGGATAACAGTCAGCGTAGCTTAAAGTTTTTGTGTAGTAATAAATCTTAGTTAACAGCTGCTATCTCAGGCCATCCAGGAACTATGTGACTTAAATACAGATCAGGAGAAGAGACTAACACTAGATGTTGTGTCCATTTGGGGCAAGTATACTTAAGAGAGGTTTTCTTAGGAAAACCCCCAACTGCCAGTATGAGCTAAGTTTCACACAGCAGTTTAATTTGAAGTGGTCTCCCAATAAAACTATAAAACAAATTTAAAACAAACAAACAAAACAAACAACCAGCCCCCCAAAATAACAACCAACCAAACGACATCCCCCCAAAATAACCCAACAAAATAACCCCAACCAGGCAAGAGCCATCATTAGAGAAGCCTGAATGATTTTGTTCTCTTCTCTCCCCCTGTAAATATTAACTCTCTGCACCCTTTCCTCTATTTCTCACTGTCATGGTGGTAGTGGCCATTCACTGAGCTTTGCTTTTAGCAAGTAGCATCAGTACCTCAACATGAGGAAACGTAAACTGTTAAGGAAGCTAAAGCTTCTTCCTGTGTTTCAACATAACCAAATGCACTGTCCTCAGTGTTGTGACAAACACCCCCCAAATGTATACCATGATACATAGTGTGAAAACATAGGATGATGCCACTGTGGCTCAAACTGCAGCATAGAATCTGCACACCAGGATGTGCTGCCATCCTGCAGTACATATTCCAGGTAGCATGTCCCATACTATCACAGACAAAACACAGCACACCACTCTGTCCTTTTCTTGTGCACATCAGAACTGCATCTACTCCTGGAACAAGTATGCTTTTATCTCACTTTTTCCTTTCAAGAGGTTAACATAGTAGTGAAAAGCCATTCTTCAACTGTAACTTCTTGTTGAATTTATAGTTACAAATTGAAAGTAGAAAGCAAAGTGAAAGTTGAATGTAAATTGCATTTGGTTGACACCATTTACACAGTCAATTCTCAAGCAATTATTTCCACAAGAATCACAGTCAGTTGGGTTTATGCCTTATGAACATACCTGCTGTTGCTGAATTAGCCACAGGTGTTCTGTGGTCCTTATTTACTCTAGCTGAAAGAAAATAAGAATTATCAAAATGAAAACAAAATACTTATTTTCGATCTAATGGGGGTTTAACCACACTGGTGGGAAGGGCACATTTAGCTTAGTATAATCACTGGTTCTCAAAAGACTCAATTTTCTCAAAGACTAACATATATTCTTCAGTGCCCCCAGCTTATCAGTTTCCTTTCCAATTTCCTTTCCTTGTTCCTAAGTCAGAACTCCATTGATACACTAACATCACTGGAAAATATTTGTTCAAATGGTTTCCCATGGTATATATTCACCCAGAATTTGAATGGATTGGGCAACAGGAAACAAGAATGGGATCACCTTCTCAGTGCTTTCTGAGTGAGGAAAAAGCCTGTTTTTCAGGGAGGTACTGTTCCTAAAAAGTCACTTGTCCAGTCATATAGGACAGCCTGTGTTTTAAAATAAAAACCTGTTACTACTACTTTAGCTTCTGAATCAACTAGCCATTTGACATGCACAGATATATAACATAACCATGATAATCATATACATCATGACATGTATATACATACTCATGTCTGTATACACGCTAACAATAAATATTACTCAAGCAATGTAGGAAACTTCTGACCCTCACTGAAATCCCCAGTGGGAATCTTCTGAGAAGTCAACAATTTTGCTGTCCTATCTTCCACTTTCATGTTCTGCTCCTATTCCTATCATGATCTTAGGACAAGTATATTCTTATACATGCAGGGTTATCTACAGGCCTTCTGCAGCCTGCTAATACCACCTGCAAGCCTATTAAACTTACAAGCATTTTGCACAGGACACATTTCCATAGCACCAAGAGAGGAGATGAGTTTGAACAAACAAAACCAAAAAAAACCAAAACCAACCCACACACAAAAAAACACTCTAGTGCCCTGTCTGCTCCATCAAAAGGAGCGTGACCAACAGGTGGAAGAAGGTGAGTCTTCTCTACTCTGCTCTCGTGGGACCCCACCTGCAGTGCTGTGTACAGTTTTGGGGTCCCTAACACAAGAGGAATGTGGACCTGCTAAAGTGAGGCCAGAGGAGGCCATGAAGATGATCGGAGGGCTGGAGCATCTCTCCTATGGAGACAGGATGAGAGAGCTGGGCTTGTTCAGCCTGGAGAAGAAAAGGCTCCAGGGAGACATTTGAGCAGCCTTCCAGTACCTAAAGGAGGCCTAAAGAAATATGGAGAGAGCATGTAGTGGAGGGGAGATTTAGATTAGACATTAGGAAAACATTCTTCACTATTAGGGCAGTGAGACACTGGCACAGGTTGCCCAGAGAAGTTGAGGATGCCTCATTCCTGGAAGTGTTCAAGGTGAGGTTGGACGGGGCTTGGAGCAACCTAGTCTAGTGGAAGGTGTCCCTGCCTATGGCAGGGCAGTTGGAACTAGATGATCTCTAAGGTCCCTTCCAACCCAAACCATTCTATGATTGTGTGAAACTTCCATTTCCAGCATGTGCATAAGCTATACTTTGATGTTTGAATAGACTAGACACTGATCTTATTATTCTACATTGTTACTCATAACAAAAATTAATAGAGATGCATGGGTAAGTGGTTTGTGAGGAGGTGACAACCTCGTCCACTCTGCTAATTTAACAAAGTATTTAACAAAGGAAGATAAAGAAATAAACAATGTGGTAAAAAAAAAGTCTAGTGTTTTCAGGATGAAGACCTAAGGAAGACTTGTATTATCTCATCCCACCTTTGCAAGGATGAATTAACAGATTTATGATAGCTGAGGGACACTAAATGAATAATTTTAATACCTTTTCTTATGCAGAGCATAAATAGAGGCACTGATCCAGAGAAGGCAGTCACAATGAGAAATGCCCCAACAAACCGTCTGCTCTCAGGCCACAGAACAGCATCAGCTGAATCTTTGAGAAAAACAAGTGGGGGAATATATTACATACTTCCATAAACTTCTCCCTTTTCCTTTTATTTTCACCATATTATTTTTACTATAAGCAGTCTGGACACGATAACAACACTTTACATTGTGTCTAAGGTGAGATGTGACAGTACACTTGATCATATTTCATCCCAGTCAAGATAAAAACAGTCAGAACATATTAATATTAACCTTTGTTTCCTGCATTCTATGTGATAGTGCCTTTGATTCCCATTAAGAATCCTGTATGTCACCAAGGTACAAAATGTTATATCCAGCTTAGTTTCCTGTCAGTACTGCAGGAAGGAGCTGACTGAGAAAGAGAACAGAGAGTCTCTTTCATGTGGTAAAGCTCTTAATGCAAAGGGTAAGTGGTCTCCTTGAATCCCAGAGGCATTTCTTGTTAAAACCAAACTTGCCTGTTCACCATTTATTGAAAGGGTGACGGCTTTCTCACTGTCAGCTGCCAGTTTCCACCCCTTGCCAGTCCCAGAAAGTGTGCCAGCAGAAGCATCTTTAAAACTTCATGTGAACAGGACCAGGGAAATGAATTTACCAAGTTACAGTCTGATAAAAAGAAACACTGTTTTTCAGTTGGATTGGGTTTCCTGCCTGGTTGCAAGCCTGTGCAAGCAGATCAGGGTAGACTGAAGATACTAAAAGACTAACCAAAAGCAAAAGTAGTAGGGGTGGTACCCAGTTAAAAAGTCTAGAGAGAAATTCTATTGGTCATCTCCATTCATGCATCTTCCTTCAATCCAGACTTTATGAGGGGGAAAAAAAAAAGAAAGAAAAGTCTATGTACAGTTTGTGAAATGTAAGTATGCTTGAAACAAAGGTTGTGGTTGCAGGAAAAGACCATACTGTTCAAATTAATTTGAGTTATCAGCAAAACAGAACGTTCTTGGAAGGAGTGTTTAATTTATATGGGAGGGTTTCAAGGCTCTAAGCTATATGCTTTTCAAATAATAGACCTTTTTTAACACTCAGACTCAATTTTCACAAAACTGTAGATCACGCAAAATTCCTCTCCCTGAACTCTTTCCACACATGCATGATTAGTGTGTTACTATAGTGTAAGTGTACACTAGTAGCAAAACTTAATAACATAGGTATTTCTTTTTAGCATTTGAAAATTAGGTAGGACAGAGAAACTAGTCATGGCTGATTTAACTGGGACAAAATGATATGAAGTGTATTACCACAAATGAAATCTAGAAATGTTACCTGTTATGTGTAAAATGGCAGATGTATTTTCTTGCAGCTCTTTATTCCAGAATATACAGTAAAAAATCTCATCAGTTCTACTTTCGATGGTAAGGGTGCTTGTCACACGATACAGCTGGTCACTTCCAGTTTCATAACTCGTGTTTGCCTTGTCAGTCAAATCTTCGTATTCTCTGTTTTGCCATATCACTTCAGCTTGTGGGTGTCCTTCTGACTGGCATGTCAACTTCCATTCGTTGTCTCCTGTGCTCACCACTCTTTGAGTTATAGTCCTATAGGGAGCTAAACAAATGGAAGACAATGATTACTAGTAGGAAGCTAGAAGAACAGCATGTGTTAGAAAGACACCTTTTCACCTTTTCTTTATCCTCAGCCCCTGGGTCAAGTTTCTGTACATCAGCTTGGATTTTGTAAATAATACCCAACAGGAAAAGCAAATATCACTACTATGTGTCTCCATAGTAACTGGAGGTACAGGATGTATTACAATTTTAACACTGTTTAGAAAATTGTATCAGCTTTCTGGTCTTTGTCCTGTCTAAATGGTTTTGCAACACCATTCCTCTTATGTCATTACGGAAAACAAAGGACAAAACATGGATTCAACCTAGACAGAAACACAAGCTATACAGAATATGGATTCAACCTAGATAAACCTACAAAGTTATACAGCTGCACAAGGGCTATGAGGTGGCTCCTGTCTCTGACAAAGTTTCTTTAAATGCTAAGCCAGACTTGGCTTACTTCAGGGATTCTTCTGAAATATTTTAACCATATCAGTAGCATTGAACCTCCTGCAGTAGCACACTCACCCTTTACTTTCAGATTGATTGTCTTGTAGTCAGCTCCCCCGTAGCCAATAACGCACTGGTAAAACCCTGCATCTCTGAGCTTCACATCAGTGATCTGAAGGAGAGACTGTCCCAGTTTCAGATTCTCTTTCAACAATCTTATTCTTCCCTTAAAGTCACTGTGCTGACTTCTGAAGTCTTCCTCTCCTTTGAGAAGTACGTAAACCTGCTTCTTTAACTCATCTTTCTTTTCCCAGCTGACACTTAAATCTCTAAACTTTAACTTCCCATTCACTGGAAATGTGCATTCCATGGTCACATTGTTCCCATGTTCCACAATGTAGAGTGACTGGGGAGCTTCAACTGTGAATAAAGCTTAAAAACAAAATTTGGAACAAAACGTATTTTTTCAGTTACAGGCCTAATCTTCAAAGTCATGTCTTTCTATACACATGGACATTTTAAGGACCAAAAGTATCTGCCCTGTTCAGAAAAGTTAAACATTTTTGCATGCACTTGCCCCAAGACTGGTACAGCCTATAAATAGGCTATTTATACCTGCAGACACCTGCTTTGCATGCAAAGCAATGAGATCCTGTACTAAAAGTAGGTGACAGTGCCTGCACAGCCCCTCAGCTGTTGTCTTCAGGACACTGTAACAGCCAGTTGCTAGGGCCTCCGATGGGAATGTTCTGGTCATATAAATGTCAACTGTTTTTACACATAATGTTAAAGAACACATGACAATTTTCAGGTTTGAGAGTGCCAATAAAACCTTTGTGTAACGCAAATGGTACCCTGCCAGAAATAGTGTCTATGCGAAGTACCAACAGGAATTTCAACCAGGCCCTGTACCAAAGCACATGTATTAAGCACACATACTTAGTTTAATGTAAAAGCATGCTAAGACCTTCTTATTTTAAACATTAAGAAAAAAATAAATAAATGCTGGTGCCTGAAGGAAAACTGAGGAATTAAAATTTCTGTGCTTATACATAAAAAAGAAACATACTTAAAGAGTTCTACAGCTTCTTATGGCTCAACCTCTTACCATTTAGGAAATGCCAGTAGAATAAAAATATATACAAAAGCATAAGCTTTTCCATGATGTAGGTAGAACCTAAAATGATAAAATAATAGACAAATATAAGTATCTGCTCATTTTGTAGCTTGCACTGCAAAACACACTTTTCAGTCATTCCACACAAGGAGCTGGACAAAAGGCACCGAATTCCAGATGAAAATATGACTAAATTGCACCTTTAACTACAGCAGATTACCAGGCAGAAAGTTTCCTGTGTGGGTACATGCAGGAAGAACAACTAATTTTATGCACTTGGTTGTGACAAAATACATGCACCTGTCAGTAAGTAAGTACTCACAAATGTCCAGTCATTCCCCTAAACTAGCAGGGAGTATTGCTCCTGCTAGGAGGAGAATGGAGGAGTTTTCTGCATGCATTCAATGGAAGAAATACAACTTAATTCTTCCCCGTCTGTTTGCCTCAGTTTAATATGTCAATACATTTCATAACTCCTGGTCTCCTAGTACTTATCACAGGGCTCATGAAGTCATGTGTTGTGAACAGAATTCATGTGGTAATGAGTATTTACACAATACTTAATACATTAATACTTAATGAGTATTTACACAATAATGCCTTTGTAAAACAGTGACAAAGTCAGCCTAGAAACAAAATCTGTTTTCTTGAATTCCTGCTGCTTTACCTCTGAATATGTAAATTATTTCAGTTTTCTGTCAGAAGTTTTTCCCCTCTTTATTGACACATTATTTTATACTCCTACACAATACTTTAACACTGTAAAACACTGACTCATGTCAATTCATACAGTTAACCTTCACAGGCCCGCCCACTGCACTTGCTAAGTGTGTATTTAAAGTCACAACAATACTAGTATCAAACACTGCCATCATTTTTCAATTTACTGTCAAGAAAAATTCAAACTTGCTGTAATGAAAGTCTTCCGTGACAGGCACCCGTAGAACTTTATCTACATGAAGTCCTCATCTTGGGTACCCAAACAACCACAACAATAAGGAAACATTGCCTTCAACTGTTTTCTAGTCATAGTTTCAGCATTGCATATGAAATTAGGCAACTGTAATAACAGTTATACTTCCTAACTGTTAAAATTCTATCTGGACTGTGACTCTTACCATTTTTTGTACAACATTTTCTCTTTCTTTCTCTGATTGTCAACTTCAAGATTATAATAAAGTAACAATATGGTCCTGAATCATAAGACATATGTACCTTTGTACTGTTGTGGCTTAAGGGAATTGGACTCCGCATAAGAATTTGATTCAAGCTACTTTTACCCTCAGATTGCTGCTGCCTGATCCCAGTAGGTTTGCAGAAGGCAATACAAAGAGCTAAGAAAGGGAGTAAACCTAATACAGGTTTTTATGCAGGCATGAGCAATTAAAAAAAGGTGTTCTGCTAATAGGGACAGAAAAATGCAAATAAGATCCTCACAATGAAAGATTTGTTTCATTGATAAATAAATCACAGGCTTCTTAATATGGTTAGCTACCCAATTCACCCCTTAGTCACAAGTGGTGTTTTTAAAAGCACTAGCAAGCTGCTACCTAATCCTGTGGTTACCTGAGGGTTTCCAGAGATACGCACACGAGAGTGCCTCCATCATGATTCCAGTCTGAGTAACAAGCAGTCCACAGCACCAACCAAGCACCAAAGTAAAACTTCTCAAACAAAGCAGAGGCATACTTATCTCACAAATCTGTTCTCATCATCCTTACCTAGAAGCAAGCCTGCAGAAGAGCAAGTCACTGAAACTAATGGGTATAGGTGCATACTTCCCTGTGCTCCCCACGAAAGAAAGATCAGACTTGTAGCATGCTGAGGCCCAAAATACTAGTTTTTTTGAAGTAGAAGCTGTAGCTGAGAGACTGCTCAGAGCAAATAGCCTGTGCACTACAATCACAGGAAGATACCCACACCCATGCATGCAACCCCTACACTTTTTTTGTCAGGAAATCTGAATGTCGGTATGAACTCCAAGAGAGGTTCTGATTAACTCCTGGAAGATACATGACAACAAGTAAGGTTTTAATGTTCTAAGACCCATGCTTGTATCCTACAATTGCTGAACTGTAATTTGCGTGCTTTCTTCCACTGTAGAGAAAAACATGCCTTACTACACACAAAAGAAGCATGGCTATTACTTACAAAATTTCTCAAGACTGAGAAAATCGGCTGCTGTACTCAATTTTTCACTTTCAGAGAGAAAAATAGTAGGTCCAGGTCAAATCCAGATGTGCATGAAGAAACCTGCTGCAATAACCATTACAGACCCTTCTGTTTCACCCTGAGCAGAAGGATTCCTTGTCTGGATTGGTTGAAGCAGGTCAAGATGTAGATGCCAATCAAAAACCTTTTCCAAAGCTGCAATCGTCTCATCGTTTTTTATATCGATCCTACCTCAACATCCCTTCTCTTCTGCCAGCTTCTGACATCTATGGCAAACACAGTTCTAGAAAAGCAAAAAGATATTCACTGGGAAAAAATATTTTTCAGTATCGCTGCTGTATGTTTACCTCACAATAAAATGAAGAAGGTAGGAAAACAAGAACTATTTGCCCCAAAACTTCTTGTGACAGAACTTAAATGTTGATATAACTCCACCCACTTCTTTAGGACACTTCCCCATTACTGGAAAATTCCCCATGACGGAAAATTCTTTATTGCTAATAGTGGTTTGCTTTAACCAGAGACAGAAATGTTGGGAAAATCAGTATATAAAATGTCACAGGCATTTTAAGAAACATGTCATCTGATCAAAGATACATGTGAGCAACAGTCCTTGGAACACCAGTAGCAAGAAGTCACCCATCTACACAAACTCAGGTTCCCTGCAGCATTAATCTAAGCCAGTGACAAACAGGTGCTAACAATGACTAAAAATATCTACACAATTGACTCACATCTGCAAAGGCCATAAGTAGGAATAATGGCAAGAGTATTACCCACCCTTCTACAGTAAGAATGACATTATCTCCTCAAGATTTTATCACAACGAAAGCCCCTTGCCCTGCTGCTGCGTAGTGTGAGCGCAGTTGTTAAGCCTATGCATTAGCTTACCAAAAATAAAGAGCACTCTCTTTTTCTTGATTCTAGAAGCCATTCCAGAATACAGGAAAAAAAAAAACCAACCACACCCAAATATTAGAAGTCAAAGGATATACTTACATTAACTTCAGGACCGCAGTGGCATAACCTAGTCAACAGCACAAAATACAACTTTAAACATACGTTTCAGTGTAAGTTCACCTACTTACATTGTCTTCGCATATCTCAAAAAAGAACTGACATTCTCGGAAGAGCTGAAATACTGTGAAATGACCACTTAAAAGTGTTCAGGAAGTAATTTCTTCTTTGCACTTGGCAGCCCACTCACAGTACCTGTCATGGAAGCAAAAACACGTAATGCACAAAATTGGTAAGAGTTAACCTTTTTGCTCAGTATGTGGGAGTAATATGGAGACAGTGGTGTATGAAGTTGCTGAATGTAGCATTTAGGTTCTAATAATCTGAAACTACCTTAGCAGGTTGAGGGGGTGGATTTCTGCAATAGGCAACACTGAAGACACGTTAATTTCTGCTGATTTCTTCTGTGCTTAAAAACAGGTTTAGTGATATTTTCCTCAGGAAAAAAAAAAAGAAAAACAAAAGAAAACTGAAATAAATTTATAAAAGTGACTGTGAGACCACAGAAGCCACTGACGTAGCTAGCTTTCCATGCCATGAACTGAGTTTCCTCTTCTAAATTGCTTGTCCGAGGTCACAGGGTTACTCTTTACATGTAAGCATTCAGTAGAAAATAAAAGACCAGGACAGATTATTGGTTTGGCTGGTTTTCTTCTGTTCTTGGGGGGCTTTTTTATGTGCACACACACACGTCTGTGCACACGTTTTGTTTTACCTCTTCTACAAGAGATTTCCCAGCCAAAAACGTCGGCACCGCCTGCTCTTAAGCAAAATGCTTGGAGCAGCGCTCAGAGAGCAGGTTCCCGGAGGGCCTCCGGCAGCTGCCTGAGCCGCGGGCCCTCACGGCCGAAGGAACTGCGTGCGGAACCACGACAGCCTCCTGTCGCCCGCAGCACCTGGCCAGGTGAGCCCGGGGCCGGTCGCCTCCCCGTCCCAGGGGGGGAAGCACTCGCTCCCGGAGACGGAGACTCGGGGAGTGGCGGGCAGAGAACGTCCCCGCTGGCCCCCAGCCCGCCTCCCCCCTACCTGGCGGACCCCCGCGGCGCTGCGTACCGCTGCTCCTCGCGGCTGCTCCCAGGGGCGGCCTCCGACGGCTGCCGATGGGGCCCTGTGGAGCAGCGGCCCCGCAGCAGCTCGCTCCGCCGCCACCGTTGACCCGGTGCGGTGGACGCCGAGCAGGGCTTTCCGCCACCGTCTCCTCTGCGGACCTGTAGGCTGCTGCAGCGCCGGGAACTGCTGCGGCGCCCTGCTCCCGGCCTCGCGTTCACCGACGGTTGAGCCCAGTGGGGCGGGCAGCTCTCCCGGGACACTACTCCCGAAAGACGCTGGCTTTCGGGAAACAAAACCAAACCCTAATGACTGCTTTCCTTCTCAGGAGTTTTTGTTTCACTTTTGCTTTTTAAAGAAAGCTTGTGTCATGTGTGAAAACATATCCTACCCTTGCCTTGCATGGTGAGATCTACTTTTAGTGGAGGAAGATGTGTGTCAAAAGGCTGGAAATCTGAGATGCTTAGGGGAGGAACCAAAGGTTCCAAAGGGAAAGAAAGAGACAGATCTAAGTGATTTTAGGAAGAGCAAGTTTGAGACAACAGAGGGATAAGTGGATTAAAAGGACCAGTTGCAGATAAATAGTTGCTGGTAGATGCACTTGGCCATGCCCTGTGCCCAGTTAGTGCAATCTATCCTCTCATCTTGTTAAATTGCTTTCTGACTGTTTTCATGGGTGAGTGACTCTTTTTTCTTCTTTTATTGTTTTGGGGGAGGTATACTGGCGTCTGCCAGAAGCTGGGGTTAAGCCATGGGTCACAGGACCCATTTGTCCATGGTGCAGCAACTAGACACTGAAATGAGTGGACTTAAGTGCCAGCAACTGGAGCAAAACATCAGCTGTAGAAGCCCCTGTGTCTGTGGTGGCAGCAGCTGGAGTGGGAGCACAGGCCAGAGGGACCCAGTGCCTGACGCTGGCAGCTGTGGAGGCCTGGGTGACACCAAGCACCAGCCCCTGGCATGTGGAACATGGGGATCAAAGGCCTTTATTCTCAAAGTCTGGATCAAGAGGGCATGTGAGTGTGAGCAGAGGTCCAGCTGGATGGGCTGGTACATGTGTGTGGTGGCCTGGGATATATAGCTGGTACATATGGTGATGGTGGTCTCTGTAGGCAAGAGCACAAGAGGAGATGGAACCCTATTGCGCAGACCAAGGGAGTCACAGGCAGCTGCTGGAGAGATCATGGGGACTGGGGAGTCTCTAGGGGAGAGACCCCTTGGAGCTGTGGGTGTGCATATTCTCTAAGGCAAAGACCATGAGGGTTTGGTACCTGGGGAGCAAGAGAGTTTTGGTGGAGGAGGGGATGTTTATGCACACAAGGCAGGTGTGAGTACAGCAACTGGAGAGGGGCTGCAGATCTCATGGCCTCATGTGTCTGTAAGCTGGGCTAGGAGACTGAGATCCAGGTGCAGCTACTGTGCAATCTGAATGGCTGAGCACAGTGGCAGGAGGAATCCAGTGTGTACCTAGGTAAATACATTGCCACCAGCAGAATTCTGTCCTGCTCAGCCAGAGGGATGAAGCTGTTGATGCTGTTTGGGCAAGTACTCCATGTGTCTGTCTGTGTCATCTGTTTGGTTGGCCTTATATATATATGTATGTATGCAATGTGATGTATACATGAGTTCTGTATGTGTGTATGCCTAAGGGGAATACATGCTCAGCTTATACTTGCTGGATCTGTGGGCAAGAGGCTGTGGCAGCCTCACTTCCCTTGGGCTTTCAAATCTGCCTGATGCCCTTGATATACAGAACAGAATGGAACACCATTCAGTCAGAATGACAGCACCAACTGCTATTCCAATTCTCTGAGTGCTGGGTACCTTTCAAAACAAAAGACAGAGCTAAGTTTGAATGCAGTAGCTGGAATGCTTTACTGTGTTCTGCTATATGATCTGAACATCATTTATGCACTTACCTGCAAATTTACTACTGAATTTACGCATGCGAAAACTACTAGTTGTAGTTGAAAATTATGTATCATTTTCTGTGCAGAAATTCATCTTCTCACCTTTGTTCCTGTTGTTGGCCTGCTGACTTCATGAATGATGTCTATATCAACCTTAATACACACCCTGCTCAGTTACTGGTGTAGAGTTTTAGTTGCTTAGTTCCCCCATAGCTCAGCTTATGAAGAACACAGGTACAATCTTGGCCAGCCCAGTCAGAACTTTTACATATTGTAGAGGGGGACAAAGTTCCTGTGGTGCATATGAAGAATTTGCTGGGGAAGACAGTCTGGGTTATTCCTGCTTCAGGTAAAGGCAAACCCATTCGTGGGATTGCTTTTGCTCAGGGACCTGGATATACTTGGATGGGAAAATAATCCAAATCCTGCTACTGCTGAACCCAGGACAACTTTATTGCTGAATCTGACATTAGAGACAAGTCTGAGTGTCTGCAATGCGTGACTTACTGACACTAGTTCCATTTTCCATATGGAAATGGAATATGGAAACATTTTCCGTATTGGAAACTAAATGCAGCTTGCAACATAGTACAACTGCATCCTTCCTGAGGCTTCTGGAGCACAGCAAAGCAGCTTTGGATAGCCATATCTGACTTTGCCACACATCTCACCTGTTTTTAAACAAGTACCTCAACAGAACTGTATAAATAGGTGCGTTTACCCTCAGTATGCTGAAGGAGAAATTAAACTATGCTTAATGACATATACACTTAAAGTGCTGTTTATGGCCAAAGGGGAAACAGAGCTTATATATAAAACTAAGAATTTTTTGCTGTCAATCATAATAAGCCTGCATGTGTCTACACCACATAATTGTGTTAATCATAAAATCATAGAATGGTTTAGGTTGGGAGGGACCTTAAAGATCACCCAGTTCCAACCCCTCTGCCACAGGCAGGGGACCTCTTCCATAGACCAGGTTGCTCTGAGCCTCATGAAAAGGTAACAGAAGTAAAAGAAAAGAGCCATAGAAAACATCACTTAGCAAAACTGTTGCCAGAGACAAGTCAAATAACACCAGGCTGCAGGCAGGTCAAGAAAAGTTCAAATAGAGCAAGCTGAAAAAACTCAGCCCTGAGGCCTTGCAAACTCAGTACAAAGCTTGTGGCCTGCTACTCGAACTGGAGTTATA